TGTGAAATGTATATTGCAGCTAAGTCATCAAAGTTGTTTAACTAACAGGTAATGTGCTGTTAGGCCCACTCCCTGTGCTATCGAAAGTTAAAACATAAAGCAAGATCTCTATTTCCACATAAATCTGCAGCTTTCTCTGACTCAAAATATAGTCCCAGCAGTGTTTTCTAGACTTCACTGTAACTACAAAAAAAAAAATTCTGTACTTAACTTCACAATTAAGGGGCTTCCACCAGTCAACCAGATGTGATTAATCTACAGTGTAGTGGCATGATAAAAGGTGAGTATCAAAAGAAGAATATAACAGAATTCTATAAATGCCTTTTAGGTGATGAATATGCCCAATTAAAGTAATATACTTTGGATTATAAGTATTTGGCTGTGCTGTGTGAAGACATTTTCAAAAATGAAATGTGTAAAATCTCATTACAGATCAGCATTAAAAGAGATAAACATTTGCAACTCGTTTTGATGACAGGAAACGCTAACTTTGAATCCCAATTAAGCAGTGGACCTGTATTACAAAAAAAATTGTATTCAATTATATTTTGAATTCTGCCAATAAAAAATTTGATGTTTTAATTTTTATGTGCTTACACACTTTATTTTGCTTCTTGACATACAAACCCTAACATTTACTATCTGGTCTCACAGATTTTCCAACCCTGGCCTGGAAGAACACTGGACAGTTATACTGGGCTGCCCATTGAGTGCCTCTAGTCATTCAAACAAAAAAACCTTAATCTACTCCCAAGTTCTTCTATAATGTTAGAATGTCCTGTGTCTTCCCACCTTCAAATATAATAAATACCTTTAATCCATCTACTTCTCTCCCTATCTGCTGCTTTAACCTGCACTATTGAAAGTTTAATTGGTCTCCCTGCTTTCACTCTTGCCCCCTAAAGATGCAATATTCAATGTAGCCAGAGTAATTTCTTTAAAATGTTACTCCCCAACTTTAACCTCCTTTTTGCGTTCCTACTGCATTTAGAATAAAATCCAATTCCTCATCACAATCTTAAGGGATTTAAATAACCCAGCCCCAGCCCACCTCTTCAATCACATCTGCAATGGACTTAATATTTGTATCCTTCCCATCCCCAATTCATATGTTGAATTCCTAACCCCCAATGTGATGGTATTAGGAGGTAGAGCCTTTGGGAAGCGATTAGGTCATGAAGATGGAGCCCTCATGAATGGCATTAGTGCCCTTATAAAAGATAACCCAGAGAGCTCCCTTTCTCTTCCCACCATGTGAGGATACAGTGAGATGAAGGTCTATGAACTAGGGAGCAGGTCCTCACAACACAGAATCTACAGATGCTTAATCTTGGACTTCCAGGCCTCTAAAACTGAGACATAAATTTCTGTTCACAAGCTATACAGTCTATGGTATTCCACAGCAGCCCAACCAGATTAAAACAGCACCTCATGCCTCTCTAGCTGCATTGATTACCTTGTGAAACATACCAACCCCTTTCTCTTTCTTTTATTTTGTAAGGTTTTACTGATTTATTTTTAGAGAGAGGGAGAAAGAGGAGAAACATCAATGTGTGGTTGCTTCTCACGCACCCCCCTCCTGGGGACCTGGCCGTGCAACCCAGGCATGTGCCCTAAACCAGGACTTGAACCAGTGACCCTTTGGCTCGCAGGTTGGCACTCGATCCACTGAGCCACACTAGCCAGGGCCCCTTTCTCTTTCTTTATTTTTGCATTGCTAAACACTTTACAGGAACCAACTTCCTTGCTTTGCTTTGCATCTCTGGGTCTTCCTTTTCCTTTGGATACCAGATCAATGTACACAGTATACCTTCCTTTTGTTACTCTTCACCTTACTAGCTGGTTTATTTCATTTACGGCACTGGAATGTAATCTTATGAGGGCAAGCAATGTCTGCCATGCCCAAAACAGCATCTACATGTAATAGTGGATAGCTGGCAAATACCTTACCAAATAAAGAAAATTCCAAGAAAGTCTCATGATATGGGAAAATAAGAGTTAGTAGAGCACATAGCAAAGATCCTAATGATCACGAATATTTATAGAGGAAGTGATGTTTAAGCTGATATCTAATGAGAATAGGTATTATGCCATTGAGGGCTATTTCTGGGTAACTATTCCAGGTAGAGATGAGCAAGAGAAGCAGGGAAAAGAGCAGAGGCCTAGGGGAGACAGTAATGAGCAATAACACCAGATCATTTGGACTTCATGAAAGAGCAAGAGGAGGTAAATGAAATGTTTATGCTGAAGAAATGGTGAAACAGTACTTTTTTGCCTTAGGAAGGTCACTCTGGCCATAGTGTGTAGAGTGAAAAATAGGGGGAAGAGAGACAGAATACAACGAGTTAGGTTACAGTAGCAGTAGTGAGAATGAAGGCATGTATCAATTTGAAATATTTGGGAAATAGCATTGGTAGGACAGGTACAGGAGGTGAGACAGGTGTTAGGGAACAATCCTAGGTTTCAGTCTTGAGCATTCATTGAGAAGATGGAACCATTACTAAACCTGGAAAAAGTGGAGAAATAGCATTTGAGATATGTTAGGCTTGAAACATCTATGAAGTATCTACATAGCTAGTTTAGTATTTGTCTCTTAGATAATCCCAGGTCTAAGCCCTTGATACCGTCTGCTCTTTTTATCAGTGCCTGGTACACAGCAGGCATTTATTGTTGAAGGAAGGAAAGAACAAATTTAAGAGCACAGGTGGCAAACACAAGGCCTGTGTGCCAAATCCTGCCCTCCACCTTGTTTTATCCAGCCTGGCACCTTGTTTCTACCCAGCGGCAGCACCAAGCTCCTTGCCCCTAGTTAAGGAGGAGTTACATTTATACAGTCCTAAAATTACATTGAGCGCTTTGAAGGCAACCACAAGGCTAACATGGCCCCCTGTGAAAATGAGTTTGACACCGTTGTCTAAGAGGGCCTGGGGGCGTCAGTTAAACTGGATATAAAATTAGGGGTCATCAGTATGTAAATGGTTCACTCAGATGAGTGGATAACAACCACCCGGGAGTGTATAAAGTTAGAAGATGAAAAGAGCCTTGAAGAAATTTAGCTTTATGAAAAGGGTAATAACAGCAAGATAACTTCAAATCCTTACTGAGTGCTGTATGCCTCCTTTCCCTTTTAGTTGAAAATATTTTCCCTTTATGTAAGTGATCCCTGAGAGAACTACTCCCAGTAAAGATGTGGGTAACTGACTAATGTTCTCTCATGATAATAGCTAACATTTATTGAGTTGACTGAGTGCAAAGCACTGTTCTGAGCATTTTGCATGTATTCTCACAACTCATGAGCATGATTCACTGCAAATGAGGAACTACACAGAGTGAAGACACAGGACAGAGGGGGTAATTACACAAAGGTTCTGAGAAGGGGTGAGCCTTGGATAGTAGGAGGAACATCTCTTCCACTAAAGGAGAAAAACCAGAGGCAGAAAGGTACACATTTAAGTTTAAAATAAACTTTCATCATGAAAATGACTTTTTGTACAATACCTAATAACTTTTAGAATAAAATTCTTAACATGGTGTGTTACTTGGCTTTACAGAGTAATAACAAAGTGCTGTGGGGATTAAGGAGAGGACAGAAACGCTTCTGCCTTAAGTTCAGAGGGCAAAGGTGGAAGTTGGGCAGATTAGACCTATCTTGAATATCTATCAAGTCCCAAGGTGGGTAACATGTAGAGATGGTCTGGGGTGGGTCTCTGCCCTGTGGTCTGGCCAGCAACTATTCCCCACTCTTCTATCCCAGGACTTCAACTGCCCCCTGTCTACTCTGGGGGCAGGATGCCATGTTCACTCTGTTACTCTGATGGAACATATGATCAAGGTGCTCTGGCCAGAGCTCTCACCTGGGAAATTTTGAGTGACACAAGAAATAAGGAGGACTGGATCATTATCCCAAAATATATCACCTGAAGAGATTCCCAGGAGTTCCTGATCCCTGAACTCTCAAATGTGACCCAGGTCTTGTCTTTCCAAAGGCCGGTCCCTTCACATCTTCCTTCCATTTCAGGACCCACTCCACATCCTTTCACAGATTCATTTTGATAAGATTAAGTTAGTGCCAGCTTATATTGCTTAAAACCAAAGGATCCTGGCAAATGGATATAGACACCTACAGAAGTGTGCTAAAAGAATGGCAGCTGGGTGGGATTGCAGTAGACTGCAGATTGGAGCCTACTCCCTGACTCCTTTCCCAGTGTGTTCACAGTCCTTAATGGTACCATGGCATGGCTCTTTTAGAGAGGCTGACAGATACCAGCTACAATTCACCTTCTCAGCCACAAAGTCACATTTTTAAGCCTCTCTGGGTGCCATACCTAGTAACTTTTGAGGTACATGCTTTGGAAGAGTAAAGCTGTGACTTCAACTCATGTTCACCATTTCTAAATCAGTTCAGTCACCCACACCCATTGCACATGGAGTTCTTCGTGAAACCTCTGTGGACCTATAATAGGTCTTGGCTCAGCTTCCTTTGTGCCACTACACTAGCTAGTACTGCCCAATACCATAGACTTGTCATATTATATTGTCATTACTTGTCTAACTTCAGTAGTAGCTGTGAACTCCTTGAGAGTAGAGTATAAATCAGGGTCTGACACAGTGCTTTGCACTAAATGTCTGTAGACCAAACATTATACAAAATACATAAGATGAACAATATTATAGGTAAAGATGATGTAAACCAAACCCTTTTTAAAAAAGGCAGAGAATCAGTTAGGACATATATACTAACCCATCAAAAAAAAAAGTTAAGAGTTCAGACTCTGAAAGATAAGGTAAATTACCAGAGGTTACTCAGTGGCGGGTCTGGGTCTCTGGGACTAGAATCTAGCACACTGAAGTCCAGGACTATTTTCTCTGCACCAGTGTGAAACTATGCCCATTCTTTCCCCATCAACATAAGCCAGATGTAAAACATATCCAAGTCTCGGCAATTCTTTTTCATGTTCCCTCTCCCACATAAATTACTCATTCCAGCCCACTGTCAGCTCTTGATTTCAGGGCAAAGTTTATTTGAAGAAATTAAGTAACCTGCAACAATCTCCCCACTTCAAAAGCTGTTTGTCAACCAAGGAGCTGCCATGAGCAGGTGGGGATGGAAAAATAGGGGATGTGGTCCCACAATTATATTTACTCTCTAGACTTCAGTATGTGCTGTCTCAGCCCTGAATCCCTCTAACCAAGACGACTTATGCAGAGCAGTGGTGCTACCTCGAGAGCATTTTAGGTCAGTGGCCATTTTCTGAATTCACTGGTCACAGTCCAGTCACTATAATCAATATGAGTGACCAGTAGTGGTCAAAGTAGACCAGAGGCACAGGCTGTTGAGAGACCCTCTATTAAAGAGGGTTCTAATAACACATGGAATGCTCAATTTGTTAAAGTGCTCAACTACAACATAAAAATAAAGGTGTTGGGAAGATATCTACTGGTGAGGAATCAAGTTGTAATCTGAGGGGCTTTTAAAAAGATATAACAAGGAAAGTACATGAACTCTGCTCACATTTCAGCAATGATGAAGGAAAGAAAAGTTTAGAGCTTAGTCTCTGAATTACTAAAACTCTAAATCAAACACATCTCTAGATGGAGACCAGCTCCTTTGACTCCTCATGGAGGCCAAATGAAACCTTTTATCATTGTCTTTTTTCTCTAACTCTTCTCCAAATAAACCTCTAATCTGAAATCTGGTTTCCTGTATGGAAAGGTCTGTTATGGGCAAATGGCCAACTTACATATGACCTGTAAACCACTTTCCTGTAAGGTAATTTAATAAAAACCTGGAGATGAGAAATCTGTTTCCAAATCTGCCAGGAATAAGAGGTCCATAATATTTCTATCCTCTTGGCATGATTAGAAGATCCACAATTGAGGTGCCATGGTAGTGAGGGGCAAGTATCCATCAGCAGCATTGGCTCGTCCTAGAAGTTAGTGTGTGGCCTCAGTAGTCATTTGTAAGTCCAGTGAGCTGTGGCCCAGCCCTGGCCCTTGCATAGGTCCCGGTGGCGAAGGAAACAGGCATGGACTCGGAACCGACGACCACAATGGGGACAGGCATGCAGGGCTCCTGCATGGGTCTTCATATGCTCTGTCAGATGGTGCTTCAGCTTGAAGCGCTTGTTGCAGATGCCACAGCCAAAGGGCCGAAGGCTGAAGGTCAGCATAATGTGCCGGTCACGCTTTGGTTTCACTGCAAACCTCTTCCCACACAAGCAACCAAAGCATTTTCCATCTGCAGGGGGTGTCCCCCCTAGCTTCACAGGCCCATGAACAGCCTGCCCCGTTCCCCCAGGTCCCCCACCCCCAGACAAGATTTCATTACCATGAAGATCCACTGGTTTCCACGATGGACCTCCTCCTCCTGCAGATGCTGCCCCTGTTCCTGAGGGTGTCAAGAACCCTAGCTCTTCAGTCCCTTCAGTGTTCCCTCCAGGAAACACTGTGGTCTCCTCCTTTACTCCTCCAGCCTGAGTTCCTCCTCCTGATATCTCCTCCTTAGGCTCAAAGGGTTCCTGCTTAATGTAGAAGATTTTGGAGGGTGGTGCAGAAGGGGTCAGAGACTCAAGTGGTGCACTCTCATCGTCTGGAAGCCTACGGGGAGTAGCAGATATGGGCAGTGGATGGGATCCATGAGGATGAGGAACCCCTGATACTCTTGCAGGCTGAGGAGTCTGAGAGAATGCTGCTGACCTCTGGTCTTCATCCTCCTCCTCTTCTTCCTCCTCCTCCTCAACTTGAATCCGTAACACGTTTCCCAGTTCACTCCCGTCCCCTCCAGTGGGGTTCTGGGTAGAAGCAGAAGCTTGCACAGGACTCTGGAATGAGGAAGAGCGAATGCACCATCCTCCTGTCGAAGATGTGGAGGAAAGAAGTGTGCGATAAGGGGTTGCTCCACGGGCTGAAATTCCACCACCTGAGGTTTCTAATTCTCTAAGAATCTCTGAGCACTGATCTACTACTTGCCACATTTGGAGGCCACTGGCCACAAGGAGATGGGCAGGGAGAGCATCCAGTGGCAGGTGGAGGCGCCCTGAATAAATGAGCTGGAGCAGCCCCTCGAAAGCATCAGCTTCAATGACGCTGGGCAAGGTGAGACGTGGTGCATCCCCCAGAAGAAGCTTGTCATGGAAGTAAGGAGAGGCAGCAGCCAACACTGCTTTGTGAGCCCTAAGTTCCCGGCCCTGCACCAAAAGGGACACATCACAGAACTTTCCCTCTAGTCTGTGACGGTTCAGGGCTTCCAGAAGCAATGAGCTATGCTGAGAGAACTCTATCTGGATAGTCCGTGGGGCTGGGTTGCAGTTCTGGGACTGGGGGACAGGAGGCAAAGGTGTCGAGGTATCCATGGCCCCCTCGGAAGGAGATCCCAGAGGATCGAGTCCAGGACAGGAGACGAGGAGCTGGGGTAGACCCCGCGCCGAATGAAGGCTGTAGAGGAATGGAGACGGGGGTTACGAGAGCTCTGAATAAGGAGACCGTACCGCCTCAAACACCACATGCTTCCCCAAGCCCCCCGACACGTGGAAACTTTTCAGTGAAATAAGCCCCGCGCACTCCCCACCAACAAAACAGAAACAACCAAAACCAACCGGGGGTTTAACTTCCAGGCCTGTGGAAGATGAGGAGTTCCTTCAGCCACGAGCCTGACTTACCCCGCTGGCCCGGAACTGCGCCTGCTGCCGCTCCGTTTCCCCTACGGTGCCCACAGGGCCCGGCTACCGGGAAACCGGGGCCGCTGGAAAGCCACGAGAGCCGCCAGGCAGCCGGCACGTAGTACGTCTGCAGCTACCCCGCCGTCGCGGGCCGGAAGGCCCCGCCTCTGCCCGGAAGCCAACGCCGCCAGTGGTGGGCGGGGCTAGGCACAGCCAATTGGAGGCCTACGAACTTCGTGTGCTGGGTTGCGCGGGCGAGAAGGCAGTGAGTGCTTTGAGAAGCGGTGCTGGCCTCGAGGCGGCGGAGTGGGCTCTACAGAGCGCTATGCAATCGGAGCGGCTACGAGTGAGCCACCTCGTATCGAATGTGGCGCCTACACCCCATTAGGCGCAGAGAGCGAGATTAAATACGCACCTGTAGTGTGGGCTAGGCATTGTCCACATCATCATACAGCTTACCCCCTCCCTGCGAGGTTGGTGTTACCCCGTTTTCTGTGGCTGGCAAGTGGTGGGTCTGGGGTTGAGCCCAACTTGCTAAGGAACCGTGTTCTTTCCTCCATTCTGTACAGGAGCATTTTAACTAGCAATTAACCCTTATTTCTAGATGATTATTTCAAGGCACGTATTATAGCTAGATATTTGAAATCTTTTATCAGATAATGTGCTATTCCTTGGCCTCTACTTGGCATTAGTGAAGGGTGAGTTAGACTGGGTGTTTGGCCAGTGCAAAAACCCTGTTGAAAAACAGCAGGTCCAAAACGGAGTCACTTGTGCCAAGACCAAGTCTGCAAACTACTACTTAATATTTAACCTAACTGCAGTTTCACTTTCTCCTCAGAATGTAATCTTTAACCAGTCAGCCTGGATTACTTCAAGTACTGGTGAGGTAAACTGATCCCTTCCATGCCTTTTAGGAGGGCAGCCTTGCCTAAAACAATGCTTTCTTTGCTCCTAAACCTCCTTTCAAAAAGCAGGTATTATCACCTGGCTGGTGGTCCCAGCTTACGAAAGTCAGCATAACGATAAAAGAACAATCTCCGTTTATTAAACATGATTTTTCTGTTTCACCACACACTCCAGAAAAAAAGGAAATGGGGCTGGGAGTGGAGAAAAAGAGGCAGTGGTGGGGGTAAAGAAGGCTGGGAGTAGGGTTGGGTAGGGAAGGAAAACCAGAAAAAAATAAAACGAGTAGGAAGAGCATCTCCCTGCCCTTAGGGTGGTGGGTGGGGAGGGTAGCATGGGGGAGGGGCCCAGGAAGCTCTGTACACAGGGGTTGCCCCCAGCCCCCACACACACACCCCAGATATGTACAGTACAAACCCCAATAATTACAACAGCCAAATAAGAGAAGAAAGGGGTCCCAGGTAGGGTGTGAGGTTGGGGAAGAAAGGAAAGGGCACAGGGATAAAATTTCACATATTTACAACTTTTATATAAGTATAAATTTGGCCCCAGCTGGGTGTATGTAGTTAGGAGACTGAAGGGTTAGTGTCCATACAAAACAAAGAAGGGTGGAGTCTACGAAGAGTCTGAAACGCATGAAGGGATGAGGGGGGCAAGGCTGGGTAGGGGGCAGCAGTCAAGGAAGAGGGGGTTGTCAAGGAGGGGATTCTCCTCTCCCTGGACCTACCCACCCCAAACCCCATCCATCCTACCTCCCCTATCCCGCCAGAGAGCTATGTACAGAGAAACACCGAAAAATTGTGGAGCTGGCGGGAGGGAGAGAGGTGGAGGGAGATTGGGAGTGGGGAGGATGAGAGGGTATCCCAGCCCTGTCCTACCTCCCCCAGGGGACAGAGTCATGGAAAGGGGCCCCCAGCACCCCTCTTCCACACAGGTCCCCCATCCTGGGGGAGAGGGACATGGCTTTTCCTAGAGTAAGTTCCCCCCTCCCCCTGGGAGTAGAGGCCAAGAAGAGAGAGGGGAGGGGCACAGGGGGACAGTGTGTGTCATGGTAGGGCAGATCAGCTATTCTGTCCTCCCCAACATACACACCCTCCTTAAACCCTAACCCCTCACCCTAACCTCAATTCCACCCCACCCAACACACTGGGGGAGGGGGGGGCATCAGCCCCCTCACCCCGCTCTGGGACCAGCCAAGAGCAGATCAGGTGTGGGAGGAAAGGGAGACGGCTCCCATTTCCCCCCTTGCTGCCCCCACCCTGCCCCGGTGGCCCCACCACCCCATCTGGGTTCTGGGTGGGGAGGAAATAAATTTAAGAGTGCTAGGAGAAGGAGTTTGTGCGTGCTGAGCCCCCCCAGACGCTCCTGAGAAATCAAGGGGTAATAGGGTCCCCTCACCTGGGGTCCCCTCCCCATAACAAGGGGGACAGGGGAGGCCAAAATGGGGTAGTGGAGGGAAGTTAGATTGTCAGCTCTGGTTACTGCTAAAAAATCACCCTGAAGTTGAAAGTTTGGAGGTGCCACACCCCCAGGGTGGGTGTGAGGGTCTGTCCCCCAGTGCTCAGGGGAACGATGAGGCAGAGGATGGGGATAGCACCCCGGAGTGAAGGGGTCAGTGTGGGGTAGGGGTGTCCTGGGGCAAGGGTCCCTGGGGGTCACAGGGGGAAGCACCCCAACAGAAAGGAAAGAAGAGCAGCTAAGGTTTCCCGCTTTCCCTCCTGGAAATGGTGCAGTGGGGTGGGGGACTGGTGCCCCCTAAGGAGGCATTCAGGGAGGTGATCCCGCTGTCCTTCAGCGTCGTCCAGTCCTGGTGGTTGGTGCTGTTCCAGGGTGGGGTGCATGGGCAGGGAGGTCTGTGGTGCTGGGTGGGCTAGTGGTCCGCGGTGTTTCGGAACTCGCCGTTCTCGGTGATCTGCAGCCTGGGTGGGGGGGGTGGGGCTGGGGGGGCCAGGCCGTTCCAAGGTGGGGCCAGCGTCACACGCGGGTTTGTTGGACCCAAGGGGGGAAGCTGCCTCTCCTGCAAGACACCAAAGAGGAGAGCGCGGACTTATTGAGATGCTTCGCAGGGGCCTGGATGCCAGTCCCCTAGCAATGGGGCCTCCCCCATTGCCAGCCCACTTCATAAGCCATGTCCCATCCCCTTCCCCCAGGACAACCCTTGCCCCCACCTCCTATTTTGTTTCTCACCTTCAGTAGAAGTTACATCTTCTGGGATCAGAGAGAAGAGACTCTTACCCTAGATTCCTAACAGGGGCCCTTCAACCCAGGGAGTCACACCAGGACACCAGTTCAAAAGAAGCAAGTTCCTACCTCCCCCCACCCCCCCAACCTAACCCTTGTTATCTTCCCCTGCCCAGCCCACCCACGATTCCAGGTAGGAACTCTGTGTTGAGGGAACAGGGAAGGCAGTACAGCAAAACCTCATCGATCCAAACACCCATGGATTTGGAATTTTTTCATAATTTGAATAAAAACAGGGCTTGAGTTTTCATTTATGTATGAAGAAAGGGTGTGCTAAGCAAATGAATAGTGGAAATGTGTCTGTAGGAGGAACATTTAACCTATACCAGAAAACAACTTTTCAACACTATCTATTCATTAACACATGCTCCCTAACGGCCTTGAGTGGAAAAGCCTTATTCATTGAAGTTTACTTACTGTATATATTTTGAAGACATGCATTTCATTAAATAGACACTGTCATTCAGTTTTGTCACTTATTCAGAGTGGCCATCTTCTCAAATATAACATTCCAAATTAGAGAGGTTTAACTGTACTGGGGGGAAAGGAAGGGGATTCAGGGAAGTGATGTGGGAGGGCTGCCTCTCTCTCATGCTAACCAGAACCACCAGGAGCTCCTGCAGGGACACAGCAGGCCCCAGTCTCCGCACCCAAAGGAAGCAGAAACGCTTCATTCCTTCCCAAGCCCACATTCCTTTCAATCCCTCCCTGGGCTCCTACTCAAAAGGTGAGGTGCACCAGACCCTACTCCCATCCATGGTCCTATTTTATCTCTTCCTACCACTCCTGGACCAGCTCCTGGCTGCTGCCCTCAGCTCTGGCTTCTGTTCCTCTGCTGGGAGAGAAGAGAGCCATCTGTACTGTACTTTTGGTTGCTGCTCACTTGCCTTAAAATACAGGCAAAAATTAATTTTTTAAATAATGGCTAAGTTGTAGAGGCACCAATACCTAAAAGTGGCTTAGCAAACATTTCCAAATTATTTCCTGGGTGACAGGGCATTTAGGGCTGGCAACCCAGTTATGTCTGACCTTATCTCCAGAGAATACAGGGTCATTCCAAGTAGAAGCTCCCAAATCAGCTCTTTCTTCCAAATCAAAGAGCTCCCTCCCAGAAGGTCACTAAAATCCCAGCCATAAGCAAGCTGCCTGCCTTCTTAGCTTGCAGAGCATCTCACACACTTTCTACAAGTCAGCAAGAGAGGGAATGAAGGATGGTAGGAGATCCTGAGTATGGCTGGAGAGCAGGGGAGGAAGGAAGCCTTAGATTCCCTTCTTCTGCTTGTCTGCTGGCGACAGCACACAGGCAGGCCCCTACACCCCCATGCACCCAAATTTAGAAAGTAGATAAATTAGGGTGCCATTATTCATTTTACAAAAGAATTCACTGCAGGAGTCTTTTAAATGGTGAGGTCCCCTGGTGCCTTTCAGCATCTGTTTACAGATCACTAACTACTCTGACAGAGAGGCTGGGCAGGCAGAGTGTTAAATTACAGTGTGAGGAGCCACTGCCCGCTGCAGATCAATCCCATAGAAAATAAAGCATCTCAGAAATGATGTCAGGGACCGCCAGGTTCCCATTTATTAGTATTTTAGGTAGGGTTGTGTCTGGCAAGGCCACTGGGTGGTGGGAGAAGAGGAGAGAGTGGTATTAACAATCCTGGGATGTGAGCTCTGACAGGAAGAGAGGTTATTTAACATGCTGTTCCTAGCATCTCTGCCTGGAAATCAACATGCCCATGGAGCCCACGATCTTATCTAGGAAGTCGTCTTACCCCACTTGCAGCCGTCACACCACTCGGGCCAGTCCACATTCTATCATCTGTCATGGCTCCTTTCTTCCTCCTTCTTGTTCCACTCACCCTGCCTACTGTTCTGCCATCTGAAGAGCATTCTTTTCCGGCCCCCCAAAGCCTCCCTGAGTTAACTACCTTCTCCTAATTCCCACCTAATGGGGCCAAATAGGAGCCCCAGACGCCTTCTACCTCACAGATGTGAGAAGGA